GAGCTACAGGTGCTGAGCCAAGATTTTCTTTTTTTTGAGACAGAGTCTCACTATGTGACCCTCTGAAGAGTGCTATGACTTCACAGCTCACAGCAACCTCAAACTCTTGGGCTTAAGCGATTCTCTTGCCTCAGCCTCCCGAGTAGCTGGGACTACAGGCACCCACTAGAACGCCCAGCTATTTTTTTGTTGCAGTTGTCATTGTTGTTTAGCTGGCCTGGGCAAAGTTTTAAGCCGCCAGCCTCAGTGCATGTGGCTGGTGCCACCGTAACTACTGTGCTATGGGTGCCAAGCCAAGATTTTCTTTTAGTTCACCTGTTTCTGTCAGGAACAACACTGACTGCTCTGCCCTCACTGAAGGCCCCAAACCCAAGCAGTTCACAAATCATCACACTTTATCTGAGGCTCAGTTCCTCAACAGCTCCTAAGTGACAAGCTCCAAGGGACTAGGGCCACTAGGAGCCCAGCCCTTCTTGTCACAAAATGGGAAACTAGAGCCCCTAGAGGCAGAGTAATGTCATACACTAGTGCATTGATACGAAAAATAGCCAGGGCTAGGGGCCTGTGGCTCAAGCGGCTAAGGCACCAGCCACATATACCTAAGCGGGCGGGTTTGAATCCAGCCTGGGCATGACAAACAACAGTGACGGCTGCAACCAAAAATTAGCTGGGCGTTGTGGCGGGAGCCTGTAGTCGAGGTGGAGGCAAGAGAATTGCTTGAGCCCAGAAGTTGGAGGTTGCTGTGAGCTGTGATGCCAAAACACTCTCTACCCAGGGTGAGAGCTAGAGGCTCTGTCTCAAAAAAAAAAAAGCTCTCTTATAAATACTGCTAATCAAAGCATATACAAAGCAGTCCTCAAACTTGACCCAAATAAACTCTCTACTTATATTGTCTGTTTGCCTTCTTTTTTTTTTTTTTTTTTTTTTTTTCAGTTTTTGCAGTTTTTGGCCGGGACCGGGTTTGACCCCACCACCTTGGGTATTATGGGGCCAGTGCCCTACTCCTTTGAGCCACAGGTGCCACCCTGCCTTACTTCTTTTTCCTTTAGGACCACAGACAAGGGCCACAAAACAGCCTCCTAACTCCCAGTTTAGTTCTTTGCCTTTAAGGGGTACTATGTCTTTGAAGAGTTTGGCGTTCTCATTTCTTTCTTGCTTTCTTTCTTTTTTTTTTTTTGAGACAGAATCTGAAGCTGTTGCCCTGGGTAGAGTGCCGTGGAGTCACAGCTCACAGCAACCTCAAACTCTTGGGCTTAAGCAACTGTCCTGCCTCAGCCTCTCAAGTAGCTGGGACTACAGGAACCAGGCTATTTTTTGTTGTTGTCATTTAGCTGGCCCGGGTGGGGTTCGAACCCACCAGCTTCGGGGCATGTGGCCAGCGCCTCAACCACTGAGCTACAATCGCCAACAAAGAGAACCTTTCGACTGGGCATACCCATAATCTTAGGCCTTTGGGAGGATCACGTGGATCACACCCGTAATCGTAGCATTTTGGGAGGCCGAGGCAGTTAGATCGAGACCAGCCTGAACAAGAGTGAAACCTGGTCTTTAAAACATGGCGGGACGGTGCCTGTGGCTCAAAGGAGTAGGGCGCCGGCCCCGTATGCCGGAGGTGGCGGGTTCAAAACCAGCCCCAGCTAAAAACATTGTAGCAGGTGCCTGTATCCCCAGTTACTTGGCAGGCTGAGGCAAGAGGACCCCTTGTACCCAAGAGTTTGAGGTTGCTATAAGCTATGACATCAAAGCACTCTACAGAGAATGACACTCTCAAAAAAAAGAAAATGAAGAGGCTCGACGCCCGTAGCACAGTAATTAGAGCGCCAGCCACATACACTGAGCCTGGCGGGTTTCGAACCCGGCCTGGGCCAGCTAAACAGCGATGACAACTGCAACAACAACGAAAAAAAATAGCCTGGCATTGTGCCGGGTGCCTGTAGTCCCAGCTACTTGGGAGGCTGAGTCAAGAGTTTGAGGTTGCTGTGAGCTTGACGCCACGGCACTCTACCGAGGTCGACATTGTGAGACTCTTGTTTCAAACAAAAAAAAAAAGAAAAGAAAAGAAAGGAAAAAGAACCTTCCAGCGCCTCTAGCAGTCGTTCGGAAAGAAGTAAAGAAGAGAGCAGTGACAGCTGAGTTACAAAGCACATGGAGCTTGCAAGCTCCCGAACCACGTCTCCGCCTTTTTCCTCCTTTAGTACCTCCCTTGCAGTTCCCTCCTCCTTTACCTCCTCTTCCGGTCTTTCCTGTAGGGCCCTCCTCTTCCGGTCCCTCCCCCGAGGGCAAACCTTCCTCTTCCGGTCGCTCCCCCAAGGGCACGCCCATCTCTTCCGGTACTACTTGAGGCTCCGCCTCTTAAGCTGTACCTTTGTTTACCAACCCCATTGGTGGAAAATCCGAGCCGCCTCTCAGGTTGGGTGTAAACGAACTATCGGTCGCCCGTCCCCGGAAGTGACGTTTAAAAGACCTGCCCCTGGGGAAGTGACGACAAGAGTGCCCTTGACGGGCGGGGAGGGCTGGGCTGCGCATCTTTCCGCTCGCGCTGCAGGGAGGTAGGAGGCCCGTGGGGGTGGCTCGAGGTGGTATCGTGACTGAGGCACGCTGCAGGTGCCTCCCTCGAATGCTGGCGGCTGAGCGGGCGAAGGCCTGGGTGGTGGGGACCTATCTCTCCGAAGAGCCGGGGTCCCTGGTCGCGTCCAATTTTCCCAGTTCCCTCCGCATTTATGTCCCTGTGTTTTGGTTCCGTTCATACTTCTGTTCCTGTGTTTCTTAGTTCCTCCTTAAATTGTTGCTACTTCCCTTTGCTGACCCTTTCACAACCCCATTTTTCTCCCTCGTAATCTCCAATTAAAATACTTTTAAAGAGCAATCGATGGAGTATGAACTTTACAGATCAGCGTTGGGTTCCAGTGATGGCTGTCATTTAATAGTTGGTTTACTTTGTGCGTGTCACTTAACCTACCTGAGCCCTCAGATTCCTTTTTTTAATCTGTAGTATGGGCAAGACTATGACAACTTTCTTAAACTTGATGTGGGAGGACCAATAATGTACGTAAAGCAATTGTCCAATTGCTCAGTAAATGTTGGTTTCTTCTTTTCATTATTCTGTTATAATTCCAGTAAATCCTGATTTCTCTTTGGTTATCAACTCAATTTTCCTGTTATTCTGACTTGCCTAGCTATTCCTTTCCTTTGATTCACTTTAATCTCATTCACCTCTGCTCCATAAATCTTATTTGTACTTTTGTTTCCAACTTGAGACTCCCAGTACTCCCAAATCCTTTCCCCCAAAATCCTTTCCCCCGCCAAAACATATTGTGTACCCCAGCTCTTCTTGCCTCTTTCCCTTACAGATGGCTCAGCGACTTCTCCTGAGGAGGTTTCTGGCCTCTGTCATCTCCAGGAAGCTCCCTCAGGGTGGGTGGCCACCCGTCACCTCTGGCACCCTGCAGACCCCACAGTGCAGTCTTGGTGGCATGACAGTAATACCTAGCCCAGCCCGGACAATAGGTACCACCAAGGTCCATTTAACAACCTTTAACATCCAAGATGGACCTGACTTTCAAGACCGAGTTGTCAACAGTGAGACTCCAGTGGTTGTGGATTTCCATGCACAGTGAGTACTGGGATCAGTGAAAGACTAAGGTCTCACTTGTTCAAGTGTTTGGTGCTTCTAACAGGTATACTCATTACAGAGTCTGGTGAGACTCAGCCCTGGCCCCCAACAAATGCAGTCTAGGCCAGGTGTGGCGGCTCACACCTGTAATCCTAGCACTCTGGGAGGCCAAGGAGGGTGGATTCCTTGAGCTAAAGCGTTTGGGACCAGCCTAAGCAGAGACCCGACCCCACCTACCCCCAAATAGAAGAAACTAGCTCAGCTACATGGCAGGCACTTGTAGTTCAGCTACTCCAGAGGCTGAGGCAAGAGGATTGCTTGAGCCCAAGAGTTAGAGGTTGCTGTGAGCTATGATGCCAGAGCACTCTACTGAGGGTGACAAAATAAGACGAGAAAGGAAAAAAAAAAAGAGTGGCTCAGCACCTGTGGCTCAAGTGGCTAAGGCACCAGCCACATACACCTAAGGTGGCAGGTTCAAATCCAGCGTGGGCCCGCCAAACAACAATGATGGCTGCAACCAAAAAAATAGCCAGGCGTTGTGGCGGGCGCCTGTGGTCCCAGCTTCTTGGGAGGCTGAGGCAGGAGACTCACTTGAGCCCAGGAGTTGGAGGTTGCAGTGAGCTGTGATGCTGAGGCACTCTACCCAGGGGGATAGCTTGAGGCTCTGTCTCAAAAAAAAAAAAAAGAAGAGTGCAGTCTGGTAGGAGCCAGGCCAGTGAATAATCTTCAAAGCTGACTGTGATCCTTGTTGTGAAACATTGACCTTCAGTATCTGACTGCCCAAAAAATTCAGAGTCATCTTCAGCATGGACCAAAGTTGGAAAATATGACTCTAGGGTCACCTGGCTTATGGTGTATACTAGTTTCTGGCCCTGCAGATTTGATTTGATTGTAACAAATTGCCACCAAAAACTATGGGAAGGGCTATCAAAAAAAGTTATCAGCGCCACCACAGTGCTGCTTAAGCATATAGGGAACAGTCAGGGACTTCTTTTCAACTTTGTATGAGTTTATTTTGGAGATATTTAAATACCTCTGGCTTTCTGGTTTTTATCCTTGCCTTCATTTCTAGACCTTTAGGGACGGGCTATGTACCTAACTACAAAAAAAAAAAAAACCTGGACAAACCCCTCAGAAGGAGGCATATTGGGAGAAGCTGATGTAGCCTAAGTAAGAAATTAAGAGACCTGCTAACAGATCTCTGACAGATTGTTTTGCTTTCTTTCTGGTTCTTTCTCTGACTCATCGTGTTGCCTTGGGCAGGCTATTTGATATCCTTGTACTTCATTTTTGTTTTTATTTTTGTTTTTTTCACTTAAAATAGGAAATAAGGTCTTGCAGACTGGGTTTTAGATCTCATGAGTTGATTAAAGTGAAATCTTAGGAAAGGTTTTTGATTTTCATTTTTTGTAGAGATCAGGTCTCAATATGTTATCCAGACGGGTCTTGAACTCTTGGTTCAAGAGTGATCAGTCTTGATCACTCACGTGATCTTCCTTGAGGGCTGAGATTGCTGGCATGAGCCACCTTGCCGTCTAGAAAATGTTTTAAAATTTGAGAATAAAATAGGAGTTGTCAGCCAAGGACTTGTAGAAGGTGGAGCTATTCTGCTCTCCTGGTGTGGTGAGCACTCTAGTTAGGGCTTCCAAAATGAAGGGGCATTCCTCATTTTGTTGTCCAGCAAGGAATCAGGATGTGAGTTTATTCGTTGCCAGGCCCTTTCCTTGCACTTTGTTTGTTGCCACATACATAGAAATGATAGCACTCACCAGGAGGGGAACAGTGACTTCAGGGCAGTGATAGCACTTTACAGAGGCGGTGAGATCACAGTAGTAACCAGAGGAAAAAAGAAGATACTTTGAACACAGCTTTGGGTTCCTATCAGCTGTGCTTCTATAGTGTTGCACAAATTTCTTAACTCATTTAGGCCTCAGTTTCCACAAAAGATGCTTCCTCTTCCTTGGCAGGATTGAGAGTTCTGTTGATGAAGAGCTCAGACGGCATTAACTCAGCATAGACACATAGAGCACAGCATAGAGCCATTGGCTTCCCCTCCCTTTAGTTTTGAGTCCACATGGTGTTTGAAATAACTCTGTAACTCCCAAAACATATCTATCCACATTGCCTTAGTTGAGTTCTCGTAACAGCTTTGAGAACCATAGTCTCTTTTTCTTTTCTTCCTTTCTTTCTTTTTTTTTTTTTTTTTTTTTGAGACTAAGTCTTCCTCTGTTGGCCCAGCTCGAACACAGTAGCATCATATCATCATCGCTCATGACCTCAAACTCCTGGGCTCAAGCCATCCTCCTGCCTCACCCTCCTGAGTAACCTGGACTACAGGCATGTACCACTGGGCCTGGCTAATTTTTTCTGTTTTTGGTAAAAGCGGGGTCTTGGTCTTGCTCAGGCTAATCTGGAACTCCTGATCCTCCTGCCTTACCCTCCCAGAGTGCTAAGATTACAGGTGTGAGCTACTGCATCCTGCCCATGGTCTTTTTCAAATGAAAACACTGATTAGGAAGCCAGGCGCGGTGGCTCACACCTATAATCCTAGCACTCTGAGCGGCTGAGGCAGGTGGATTGCTTGAGCTCAGGAGTTCAAGACAAACCGGAGCAAGAGGGAGACCCTGTCTCTAAAAATAGTCAGGCATTGTGGTGGGCACCTATAGTGCTAGGTACTTGGGAGGCTGAGGTAAGGGGATCACTTGAGCCCAAGAATTTGAGGTTGCTATTTTGAATCTAAACCTTTTAACTTCTAATCCCATATTCTTCTATATGACGGTGTATTTCTCTGAGATATATTGAAATAAGTGAAATTATCTTAATAAAAGTCCTGGGCGGTGCCTGTGGCTCAGTGGGTAGGGCACTGGCCCCGGCCAAACTGCAACCAAAAAATAGCCAGGCATTGTGGCGGGCACCTGCAGTCCCACGTACTCAGGAGGCTGAGGCAAAAGAATCGCCTAAGCTCAGGAGTTGGAGGCAGCTGTAAGCTATGTGACACCATAGCACTTTACCAAGGGTGATAAAGTAAGACTGTGTCTCTACAAAAAAAACAAAGTCAGGGTGGTGCCTGTGGCTCAAAGGAGTAGGGCCAGCCCCATATGCAGGAGGTGGTAGGCTCAAACCCAGCCTCTGCCAAACAAAACTGCAAAAAAAAAAAAAAAAAAGTCCTGTAGCCTGGGTATAGTGGCTCATACCTGTAATCCTAATGTTCTGGGAGGCCAAGGCAATTGGATTGCTTGGGCTCAGGAGTTTGAGACCAGCCTGAGCAAGTACAAGACCCCATGTCTACTAAAAATAGAAAAACTAGCCAGCTACTAGAAAAAATAGCCAGACATTGTGGCAGGTGCCCGTAGTCCCAGCTACTAGGGAGACTGAGGCAGAAGGATTGCTTGAGCCCAAGAGTTTGAGGTTGCTGTGAGCTATGACATCACTGCACTCTACCCAGGGTGACAGTGACTCTCTCTCAAAAAAAAAAATGTCCTTGCTTTGGCAGCACATATGCTAAACTTGGAATAATACAGAGAAGATTAGCATGGCCCCTGCACAAGGATGACACGCAAATTTGTAAAGCATTCCATGTTAAAAAAAGAAAGAAAGAAAGAAATTGGGCTCAGTGCCTGTAGCACAATGGTTATAGCACCAGCCACATATACCAAGGGTGAGGGGTTCAAACCCTGCTTGGGACAGCTAAACAACAACTGTAACAATAGCCAGGCATTGTGGTGGATGCCTGAAATCCCAGCTACTTGGGAAGCTGAGGCAATAGAATCGCTTAAGCCCAAGAGTTAGAGGTTGCTGTAAGCTGTGACATCACGGTACTCTACCAAGAGTGACATAGTGAGACTGTCTCAATAAAAATAAAACAGGATTTTATTGACACAGGATTGTTAGAGTCCTGTGACGAGGCTTATTTTTTAGAAATCTGAGATCTATAAAAATTTCTCAGTTGCAGCATCTCCTGGCATTACCATTTGGTGTGTTAATTTTTAAACACTGTAAACAGAAGTACTAAGGGCAAAAGGTCCCTTAGGGAAATGTGGGTCTGGGAAGGTTCTGGGGAGACAGTTGATGGAATGGTGAGTACTCTTATGACTGGTGCTTCTTTTCTCACCTTCCAAGATGGTGTGGCCCCTGCAAGATCCTGGGGCCAAGGTTAGAGAAGATGGTGGCCAAGCAGCATGGGAAGGTGGTGATGGCCAAGGTGGACATTGATGACCACACAGACCTTGCTATTGAATATGAGGTATGGATTGGTAGAGGCTTATGTCTAGGGCGGCTGGCATCGGGGATGTTATGGGGTCGAGAGACAGCTGGTGTAGGAGATGTCTTGGGGACTACCAGGTAGCCAGTATAGGGGGTGTCTTGTTTTTTTCTAGAGCTTTTAGCAGATATGACTCTGTTGATTTTCTGAACAACCTGTCTCCTCCCACTACCTGTAGGAAGTAGATTGTATGGCCCAAAACATTGGGCCATTCTCTTACTCTTGATATTGATGTATTCATTACTTATTCATTTATCCACGTGTTCAGTCAGCAGTCATCTGTGACCCATGCCAAGTGCCAAGCATTCATAATTCTGGCACAAGTGAGATGAGATCCTTGTCCCCAGCTCCTAGTCCAGAGGGTGAGAACAACAGGTAGACAGATCACCATAGGCTGAGATGTGCTGAGAAAGGCACATGAAGGAAGAAGGGACTGACTGTTGCTAGGGAGGGCAGAGGGAACTGGGATGCTTCACGTTAGGGGTACTGTCTGAGATTAACCATGTAGGATATACGGAGAAGGGAGGGCCCAGGAAGCAGCACACAGACACAAAGTAGTTTAATATGGCTGATTGGTTTGAGCATTTACTTTTCATTCCAATTCAGCAAATACTTGAGTGTCCCTCAAACGCCAGGTACCATTATTTGGTACTGAGGATATGGCACTCAACAGAACAGGCACAGTCCATGCCTTTGTAAAACCTACATTCTCCTGTTTTAAAGCAGGGGTCGATCTTAGCACTCTGGGAGGCTGAGGCAGGTGGATCACTTGAGTTTGGGAATTTGAGACCAGCCTGAGCAAGAGTAAGACCCTGTCTCTACTAAAAATGAAAAACTGAGGCTGGTGGCCCCCATGGCTCGGTCAGCAAGGGCACCAGCCACATACACCTAGTGTGGTGGGTTCGAATGCGGCCCAGGTCCTACTAAGGAACAATTGCAATCAAAAAATAGCTGGGAGTTGTGGCAGGTGCCTGTAGTCCCAGTTACTTTGGGAGGCTGAGGCAAGAGAATTACTTAAGCCCAAGAGTTGGAGGTTGCTGTGAGCTGTGATGCCATGGTGCTCTACCCAGGGCAACAG